TTGCTTCCCTAAATTATGAATTTGACCTATCTTATGAGCCACGTGTACACGGGAAAGGAAGTTGCTATAGCTAAGCATAAAACATCGAGTCCCGTCCAAGCCGTGTTATCAAACGTGTGGGCACATCAAATTTCTACGTTTTAAGTATCAAAAATTCAAAATTATATACTTTTAGAAAACAAATAACTCACCATCACTTTTTGGACTTGATGAATTGCATAAACAAACAATAGAATATTATGAAGTTAATAAACAATTAATTACCACTTGAAAATATTATAAAACACTAAAATCTTGAGGGACTGACTAGCATTTTTCACAAGTATTCTCCATTAATATATTTTTTTTTGTAGCATGTATGTAATATTGTTATACTGAAGAAATAAATAAGAGTAATGCTATAGGTACATAATACTATACATAGAGGTGTACATAATACTCACATTTAGTGGGACCTACCAAAATTAAAAATCAAGTGGACTTCACTCCATGTGAGTGTTATGCACACCTCTATGTACATTTATTATGTACTTGTAGCATTTCTTCAAGAAATAATAACCTTTTCTTTTCCTTTCAAACTAGTACGAATCTCGTGCGATGCACGTGTATGAAATATTGATTAATATTATAAATTACTAAATGCTCATTAAACAATATTTATGAATTATAAATATAGAATTAATATGTAATATGATTTACCTATATTAATTTGTTGAAATTGTTATATGGAATCTAAATTGTGCAAAATTACATAAAACATGTCTATTTAAAATTAATACACGACCTGCAAAATTACATAAAACATGTCTATTTAAAATTAATACACGACCGGTACGGTGCAAGTAACTGATAATAAGTTACATTATATTCATTTCAAAATAGATGTCATTTTAAAATTTTTATTTAGAAATTCGATTTGACTACAATGTGATTTAAGAAAAAACAAACCTTTATATATACAACACACACACATACACACACCAAATAGTTTTATATGTTCCACGCACATTTATAAAGAAGAATGGAAAATAGTATTATCCAGATTTTCTTTTATTAATATCGAGTAAAATGCTTAGCAATATGAAAAAAATTGAGATATCATTTATTACCATAAGCGGGTATATTGGATCAATATATAGTATACCAAATAACTCGATTTCATACTTTATCTATAAAATTTAAATAATGATATTCAGTTTAACCATGAAATTAATTGCCTAGCGTATAAACAAAATCAAGACTCACATTTATTATATATAAAAATAAAAAAGACCTAAAGAATAGTTATAAAAAAAATAATTAAATAGAAACTGCCATTGACACAATTATTTTAGAATAATTTTATAAGAAATCAATTTACACGATCTGCGTAATTAGGGTATCTTAAAAATATAAATTTTTATTGTCTAATTATTTCCTTAATGATCCACGATTTGAGCAATTAAATACACAAAAAATTAAAAATATTTATTAAATAATATTTAAATGAAAATTGTCCTTAACACAAATTTTTTAGAACAGTTTTCTGCAAATTGCATAATTAATTATTCTTGTCGATATTTTCATTATTTTCATAATTGCAGTAGTTATTTACATAGTGAACAAATCAATCGGATTTACAAAATTTGGGTAATTAATTTATATTAAAAATGTATTTCACAAAATAATTTAACAAAAAATATAAAACACTTATTAAATAATAAATTACAAAATTTAATTGAATTTTTTTTTACCAAATCAAATTATTGACATTGCAGCCGAAATTTTAATATTTGGGTAAATCAACCAGTTCACATGATTTGAGTAATTAAGATATCTTAAAAATGAAGTTACCATAAGTGATTATTTAAATATACCATAAATTGTTAATTAATTTGAGCAATTAAGGTATCTTAAAACTGAAATTTTATATGGCTTAATTATTTTCTTAAATAATGAGCCACAATTTCCATAAGTGATAATTTGAAATATGCCATAAATTGTTAAATAAATTTCTCGAAATAGTAAATAGATTTTTTTGAAGAGAAATAGTTACTATTTAAAAAATAATCAAACCTTTATATATATATATATATATATAGATGGTAAAATTACATATTATTATTCAAGCACTTTTTTTTTTAAGTACATCGTCCTCTTGAATGCAACTGACCGCAGTAGAGAGTGAGAGCCTAGAACAATCCATACAATCGTTGTAAGGTTATGTTTGGTAAATTTAATTGATAAGTGAATTTATATATGATAAGTTAGTTTATAATTTTTAAGTGAATTTTGATCTTATATCTGATGACTTATATGATAAAAATATTTAGTAAAATCAGCTGGTAAGTTAGCTGAAATAAAACCTTCAATGGACTTATTTGAAAAACTATCAAAGGAAGTTTATGAGATAAGTTCGAGAGTTTTAAAAAATTGTTCTACCATACCAAATTTATTTGAATATAGGAAGCTTATAAGCTAATCAAATAAGCAATAAACTAGCTTACAGATTTACCAAACAGTCTAAAAACAAATAAACAAGAAACAATTGAAACTAACACTCTAAAAACAACACTAACAAGGAAAATTTGTGAATATAATGTACCATTGGGATAATCCTAGATTTAGTAAGGCTTTATATATATATATATATATATATATATATATTTCTTTTAAATTTTTAATGCATAAGCACACTGGACTTCCCAAATTCCCCAAACCCTAGCCTCCGCCTCCAAGCTTCCGCCGTCGCCTCCTTCCTTTCGGGCTCTCCGCCTGCCCGGTTCCGATCATCACCAGTCTGCAAAGCCGGCCCACCCTTGGTGTTGAGGTCCCAGCTAGGTGAAGGTCTCGCCGTTTTCAAGGTGCATTTTCTTTTGTGCGGTTCCATAGGCGCCAAGTTGGGGCTGAGCGGCGAGCTCCGACCGACTTCTCAGCGTCGGTTAAAGCTGAGGTTCGTTTCTCCCCCCTTTTCCTCTTCTGCTGTTTCCCTGCTATGTGTTGTTACATGGTCGGTCGGCCTTATCAGGCTTCCAGTTACCGGTCGGGAATTTTTGGTGAAGCTGTTTGAGGGAAAGGGCCGAGCTGAGTCGTCCTCCGATTGCTAGTCCAGTCCAGCGGTAGTCCGTCCGGAGAAGATTGCGGTCATCTGATACGGTTCCAGATATCCGTGGTTCATTGGAGTTTTTGGTTCTGTATTTGGGTTGGAGTCCTGTCTTCGTGGGCATCTATCTCTGGATATCTGGCCGATGTATGTGTGGTTTGTTTCGCCGGTTGGAAGGAGGGTGTTATTGTATTTAGTTTATGTTGTTTTGTGGTGTTTGTGTTGTTAGTTTGTGGTGTTTCTGTTTTTCTTGTTTTTGTTGTGTGTGTTTGGTGATTCTCCTCGTGTGAGGAGTTTATTCTCCTCTAGTAGGAACTTATTCTCCTTTTGTAGGAGCTTTTGTCCCGATATGGAGATTGTGTTGTTAGAGTTGTACTGTGGGTGCGTTTGTGTAGTCTTCTAGGCTCTGAATCCGAGGTCTTCCCACTAAATTCAGCTTGATAACTGCTTGACATTCTAGTTGTATTCTAGTTATACTTACATGTTTTTTTTTTAATAAACTCTATCGTTTGGAGAAAAAAGAAAAGAAAAGAAAAACTAATACATAAAGTAAAAACTAAAACCTTTCGTAATTAAACAACCTCATAACCTCTTCAACACACTTCATAGTCACCAGTTTCTTACTAGGAAGGAAGATCCACATGCCAATACCTTACAAATGTTCCAATAAAACAATAATCTATATCTATATAAAAATGTTTGATTATTTTATAAATAGTAACTATTTCTCTAAAAAAAAATTATTTACTATTTCAGGAAATTAATTTAATAATTTATAGTATATTTCAAATGATCGCTTATAGAAATTGCGGCTCATTATTTAAGGAAGTAATTAAGTCATATCTTAAGATTCCTTAATTACTCAAATCATGTGAATTAATTAATATATGGTATATAGTGGATGAATTTATTTTTGGTATTGATGGTTGTTTCTATGGGAAATTTAACTGTTCTTTTATAGGAAATTTGTAGAAAAATTAATCAATATATGGTAATGTGCAGGCTAATATATTGATTTTTAGGCGTGGGTTTCATTTTTTATTCAATTTTTCGTATAAAATTAACATAATAAAATTACCGTAACTCTGACAAAATAATATGAACTGATATTTTGATATAATGTCTGTGTATCGATATTTTTTTATAGAAAAGCTCTGGTCATTTTTTTATTTTTGTATAATTAATGGGTTTTGGTTGAATTCATTCTTTGTTACGACAATTCAAATAATATTTGTGTGAAATGCATTGTTCATTTTTTTAGCATAATAAAGAGTGATGATTTTTTTGGCATAAAAAATCTTATGTTTTCTTCAACTACTTAAATTTTTTTATTTAGATATTTTATACAAAATTAAAATTCACTTTAAATAATTAACCAATATAATTTATATTTATACTTATTTTTTCATAGGTTTTTAAATATATGATAAAAATAGTTATTTTATGGAATTACGTTATAGTCAAATCGAATTTGTGAATAAAAATTTTGAAATGACACATATTTTTAAATGCATATAATATAATTTATTATCAGCTATGTGGTACGCCCGAGACGTGTATTAATTTTAAATGGATATTTTTATGTAATTTTGCAATAAATTATAAGGTACATTGTATTACATTTTGATTTCATGTTTCTAATATATAAATATCATTTAATGATAATTTTAATTTATAAATATTAATTAATATCTCTTATCCGTGCATCGCACGGGATGTATTAGTAGCATTTAAAAAAGGAAAAAAATATAAATAAATAAATAACAGTTGATTTGCAAATCCAACTCTCATTAAAAAAAAAATAAAAAAATAAAAAAAATCCAACTCTCATTTAAGAGACCGGTATGCACGAGTGGGGCCCAATCAAGCCACGAGGCTTCGTTTGCAATTTGGGTTGGGCCCTTCTATTATTTGATGGACTCTACAATATTATTTTTGTATCCATTGTAATACATAATACAGCTCAGTAAATAGTACGACAAAAATTATAAAAAAACAAAAAAACAGAGCAACGGAAGTATCGCAGCTGGCACAAGAACAGCAGCAGATTCTAGTTTGGTCGTCGACGCCGGCTCAAAGCCGTCAATCATCATCACAAACACGCACAATCACAAGTACATCTGAAATTTCTCCGGCAGCTTCTCGCCGGATATCTCTTTCTCTCTCCCCCCTCGCCAGTTTGTTTAGTTTGTTTGTTCCAAGAATTATTTGTGGTCCAAAACCCCATGAATTTTTTCGAGTAACGCGAGTGGCGGGAACTCGATTTGTCGGTATCTTTGGCTGATTTCACTTTTTCTCTTGCTTTCTTTCAAGCCATAGTCCAAAGATCACTTCTTTTTCATTTGCCCATTTGTTTTTTTTTTTTT